CAGTTTAAGTTTCACTTTCACTTTGCTCTGTTACTGCCGAGAGCCTGCAGGAGTCATGGGCGGGTTGTGTGGGGTGGGGAGGTGTGCTGCATGATGAGGAAGTTCGGCTTAAACACACGTCCCAGGGGTGTTCCTGGTCCCCACCTGTCGTTTTGCTCCTCAGCATGGCTGCCTAAAAATGCTGCAGGATTTCTCAAGCATGCATGAATAAATCAAAGCAAGGCTTTGGGCATGTTTTTTTTATGAGAGTATAACATTATAACATGATATAAAACTCAAAAAAGTTGATTTTGCATGATATCGCCCCTTTAAGCAATGCAGATTCCTATTTTCAGACTGTTTRTTTAATTTAGCCAATGTAGGTAGTTAGCAAAAATATCAAAGACTTTTCTGGGGGTTTTTCTTCCAGGTTAAAACATGTGTCACACTTAGTGATTATTGTGGAAAAGCTTCAGGGGTCACAATTTGTGTATACTGTATTGGCATCTTCGCTCATAACCTGCCAATTAACATGAGATGCTATAATTTACCATCTCTGGGTGACGTTTCTTTCTTTAAAAGAGATTTGAATCTGTTTTCTTCCAGGCAGGCCTGATCAGGACCGATAACGGCGAGTTTTTTATCGAACCCCTTGAGAAGGGCCAACAGGATGCAGAAGCCAAAGGACGAGTGCACGTGGTTTACCGCAGGTCGGCCATCAAGCTGGAGGCCGGTCAGCGGAGGGAGGACTTCCATAATGAAGGTTGGTGAAGAGACGGAGCCTGTCATCAGAGAAAACACAAAGCAGTGTGTGGGTTTCAGGCTTGTGACTGTCCGCAGACTGGAAGGAGAGACTGTTTGTTACCACACCTGACAGTTAAATATTTGATTCTGTGGGGGAAAGAAAAAGAAATCCTTTTACAAAGCAAGTTACAAACAGCGAGCAATTGGAACAGAACAACACAAGGTCTAAGGCAGAACGGCATCAAAATCAATATGTTGTTTTGCAAATGTAATCACAATCCGAACTAAAATGGTTCCTGGAGAAACTATGCAAGGGTTTGCCACGTGGCGTCCAATTAAAATAAGCTTTGAGTTAACTATTTGTTGGAGTAGTTTGTCACCAACAACCACGCTACATTTCACATCAATATGGCTTAAAATAGTTGAGTTATGGTCAATCAATCCATTTATTTACGGCGACCATTTGGGATTTTTGATTAGGATTCAGTGGATGTGTCTCGACTGAGTGGTCACAGCTCACATTGGCCACAGTCTACGTAGGCCGTAGGCTGCTTGATCTGGCTGCTGTGAAATGATTGGGTCTAGTGTACGGAAGATTATGTTTACGTGACCACGCGTTACACCATTGCCATACGTTTTAAATCACATACCTTCAGACGAAACTGCGCAAAATTCTGTATTATTAGAGAATCATTGCATGTAAATAAATAAAATCATTAATAATTTGGGTTTAGCTCCAGTGTCAATACTTGCAACTGCACTTTTTTCTAAATATCTCTTTGCAGCAAGCAATAGCTTCACCAGCTAAGGTCTGCCTCACATTGCATTATAATCATGCCTAATTCTGGCCCAGTTTTGCCTTTCTGACAATCTTATGGACATCCAGATTATCGTGATGCTCTAAAGATAATCTTAGCAGATATTCCTGCTGTGGGTGGGGAGTTGAGAGTGATCTAGTCGGCTCAGAACGACAATGGGACCGCTTCGACCTCAAATAAGGGATATTTAACATGTTAGATTTTTTTTCGAGGATTCAAGGATTTTTATTGTCATACCAGCTCACATTAACATGTTTGTGATATGAAATTTGGACTCAGGTTCCWGTTCAAGAAGCTTAATATTTAAATAATAAATAAACAAACAGAAACAAAAGAAATGAGATGAGGCTGAATCAAGCTCAGCTCGAGTTCAGCAGTCTGACAGCTGCAGGGTAGAAACTTTTTCTGAGCCGGGTGGTTTTGCACTGGATGCTCCTCTACTGCCTGCCTGAGGGGAGAGGCTGGAACAGTCTGTGTGCAGGATGCATGGAGTCCTTCAAGATGCAGGTGCACAATTTAAAAATTTTGCCGTATGAAGGGGGTCTAAGTTTCGAAACTTACATTTAAAAATGAATCCTGTGGTCCGTGATAAATTTCCAAACTCCGCCATAAAAATACTAAATCCACTATTTACTGAAGGTGCAATGAATCCTGGGATATCATAGACTGCGTAGGGTACTCAGATGCAGCCTACATTTTTTGGGGTTTCGTTGGCTTCATGAGTAGGCACCAACAAATTGGGACAGCCTACGTCGTGGAGAAGTGAAGTTAGCAGCAGACAAATTCACCCCATATCAGCTACAACCCCTAATTGAGTTATTGCTGTTTAAAGTGRACATATCATGCTTTTAAATCCTTCCTTTTCACACTTAAATCATTCAGTTGGGGTCTATATAAAGAGGAACTGCAACGCTTTGGTCTGAATTCCTCCTTATTCTTACTTTACCAGCCCCTCTTTCACCCAATTTCTGAGGTTTGTCTCAAAGCAGCTAATTTGATGCAATAGCTTTGAAAACTCAAGGAGAGACTAAATTCAACTACTACCACTACTATAGACTCCAAGTACACAACAAAATGTATTTAACAGCTAAAAAAAAGTGGATTTTGCATATGTCCCCTTTAAAATTAGCCCTGGCAGCCATCTTGCATATTTGTTTAGCATTCAGGTTTTTTTTTTACAGCTACTACAACAGTTTTAAGCTCTGTATGTTTAAAAAATGGACAAATCATTGCATTAAAAATAGCATTAGCAGATAGCTTAAACTTTTGATTAGCTTTTCATATGTGCTAGGTTTGACCTCAGTGACCATCACATCAAATTTTAGCTCAAATTTGTGAAGAATGCCTGAGTTATGGTCATTTTTCCTTTTCAGCTATGGTGGCCCTCTTGGATTTTTTTTTTTTTTTTTGCCCTTACTACATGTTGGAGATCACTGTCAGCAACCACCATACCAAATTTTTAGGTCAATGTGGCTAATAAAGGCTGAGTTACACCCAATTATTCAAATTATCTCTGACCGCGATTTTAGATTTTAGATTAGCTTTTAGCATGTGTTGATTTTGTTTAGCCACTACCTTAATAAATTTTATTTTAATAGAAGAAATTACTGATTTATAACTATTTTTGTATTTATTTTGGGAAAAAAGCAGTGCTTTGGTTCATGAAATATTTATCTAAGAGACATTTTCAGCAACATTGCTTTCATTTGTAAAACTAAAGTTTGAACTGAGGGCTCTTATAGCAACACTTCCCTTTGCTCTCTTATTCATTTGAATTGGCAAGCCCTAATAAAGTTAAGAAACCTTAAGAGGTGGATAATAATAGGGTCCGCCATTCAGTTCTGCAGCTTTGAGACTTATGTACTTCTGCAGCTGAACTGCATGCGTTTATTAGAAGTGGAGGCAGTGTGCACGAAATCAGCTGGTAAAATGAGGAATGCTGTGCTSCTGTGGCTCGGCGGGGGATGGGATAGTGGGGGTGGGATAAGGAGCCCAAGCAGGGGAGGGACTTTTCCTTTGCTGTTGAACATCCCAACTCCATTATGATTTTTTTCTTCTTTTAATGCAGTAAGCATCTGCTGGAAGACATGCTAGTTTTTTGTTTTTCTTACCTTTTAACTTATTTTATGCTGCTTTAACTAGTTTTAACTAGAAAACAGAGACCATAAACTCTGAGTGTGATTGCAATGATAACCATATTAGGTGCAAAGTAATGTTTCAGATGTTGTCAGATTGTTATGTAATTTTAATATTGATGAGACAATTAAGAGTTGTTAAATAAAAAAATATTATTTTAAAAGTTTGATACTAAACTTAATTTTTATTGTGATCATTAATTTACACAAAATGTCAATAATTTACTTCAAACATTTATTTCACCTGCAATAAACACGTTGTGTGTTTATGCATTTTTTCTCTTTGATAAAAATGTCCTATTTTTATAGTTTAGATGATTTAACCATGTTTATATAGGCAGCAGACACATACAGTATATATGTAACAATACACTCGAGCCCCAGTTCAATTATCGATTTAAGTCCATGATTATAAATGTTTGCATTATTTTTTCAACAAAATGAATTGTTGTTATTTTATAACCAATATATTTGTTTTAACATCAGCATTTTYSTCCTTTTGTGACCAAACATTATCAAGTATCAAACTGAATTTGTCTTGAAGATGTAACTTACTGTTATACAATAACAATGAAAAGGATTCATTCATTTTCAGGATTTTAAGCCRTTATAATGGATTAATAATCAATTCTCAATTAATTGTTAAATTCCTACGCCTAAATTTATTTTTAATTTGGAAGTTAAAACATTAATATTCTAACAGTAACAGTAACAGCATTAATACTCAAGTGAAACTATATGAGTTTTTGAAATAAAATGCATATTTGAGAAAAGAGATTAAACTCATTCCTGGWGTTCATCTCAAATGATTTCATTTTTCCTGCTTTCAGACAGAAGCTTGTTTTGTGTCACATCTGGCTAAAGCAGAAAAAAAGAGAAGGGATAGGTGGAGCAGATTCCAGCTGCTTGTTGMCTGATTTCCTCATGTCCTGCTCGTCTCATGCAGTGGCAGACGTCGGAATCGCCAACCTTCCCTCCGCTCTGGATCTGGTCAAACACAAACTGTCCGAGTCCGAGCGGAAGAGGAGGCAGGCGAAGGAGGAGGACTACAACATCGAGGTGCTGCTGGCTGTGGACGACTCGGTGGTGCGCTTTCACGGCAAGGAACACGTGCAAAATTACGTTCTCACCCTCATGAACATAGTAAGTTTGCTTTGTTTGTAATGGTTCACTGATGTTGTAGATCATCAGCACAACTTCTTGATAAGTTATGAAAATGACAGACAACTGTGGTTCCCAAAGTTGGGCTTGGGACCCAATTATGGGTCATGAAGCACCTTGGATAATTTCCAGAAATCAATTTAAAGGGTGATGATGTAATATTTTCCCTATAATTATTACAAAAACACAAAATTAGTATACATAAGTATTTATGTTTGTGTACAAGCTGTTTAGATTGTCAAAAACCTGTGTTTTTAGGGTAATTAACGAAGTTTTTGCCATGGATATTTTGTGGGTCAGAAGATAAAAAGTTTGGGAACCACTGGTTTAAGGTACTTTTGGGTGTCTTGTTTGCATATTAATCAGGCTTAGCTGGCATCTAGAAAATATACAAGGAAATAAAAAAGGATTATGTGTTACCTCTATGTTTAAGCCATATGCATACACACACAAAATAAGCAGCCAGTCACACTCTGATGCTTGCACTGCAAAAACTGTCCATCTTGCCAAGTTTTAAAATCTTATATCCAGCCAAAAAAAGGTATTTTTATCTTGTTTTGAGAGTGATTTACTAAAGAAGAACTGATTGTGTAAGAATAATAATCTTGTTTTCAGAATGTGTAAGATTATTTGTCCTGTTCGCCTGAAAATTTGACACAAATTAAGTCAAAAATTTCTGCCAATGGAGAAAGAAAATTGCACTTGGTGAAATTCTTGAAAAAGAAAATATTGAGTCAAATCAAGTATTTCAAGAATCTTACCAAGTAAATTTTTCTTACTCCATTGGCAGAAATTTTTGACTTAATTTGGGTCAAAATTTTGAGGCTAACAAGATAAATAATCTTACACATTCTGAAAACAAGATTATTATTCTTACACAATCAGTTCTTGTTTAGTAAATCAGTCTCAAAACAAGATCAAAAAGACTTTTTGGATGGATATAAAATTTTAAAACTTGGTAAGATGGACAGATTTTGCAGTGTGATGCTAAGTAGCAAAGTTAGTTAACATTTGCTGCTTCTAATCCATGGAATATAACAAAACTTTGCTTTAATGATGTGTCACCATTTTTACGCCCTTGAGCCCAACAATACTGCAACCATCATGGTTCTCTCACACAGTTAATGGAGTGGAAAGCTCAAACAATAACTTATATTCTACAGTACATAAGTCAGTGTGAAAGCTGGCAGTCCCGATGTAGGAAGTGGCGTCATGTGGGAACTATCTGTTAAAAAAAGGGTATTTTTAATATTTTATTTAACCACAGCAGCACTACAGCCTTCTTTAGCATGGAAGTTCTCTTGAATCTGATTCTATTTTTCAAGTGATCTTATTTTCCAGAAAACGTTGGCATCAGTCTTGGCTTCACTTTCTTTTGCTGTTGATGGATTACAGATGAGAAAAAGCCCACTCTCGAAAAAAAAAAAAAGAAAATGGGGGAAGAATCTCAGCTCATTCTTTGTAGGTTCCACCAGCTCCTACCACCATAATCTGCTTACCAGGTCTAAATCTCCCAAGTCAGATTTTCACAGGGAGCTGGTTTCACTCTGTAACAGTTACCATTTGCAGCCGGCATGGCAGCCTGATTAGCTGCATTAGACCACTTAGAAAGTTGAGTAGGAGCTGTGCACGGCAGCCATGGAAAACCATGCCAGCAGGCTGCTAGTGCTGCCAAGACTTTATTACATAAAATGATATGTTTATTTAATTAGGAATATACTGTATAGTCTGGTCTGAAATGTCTTTAACAGAAAAAGGTCTCCATTTTTATATATATATTGGGAAGTGGCTGTAAGAGTGCACTCATGAGTCTTTTGAGTCTACGCTTTAATGACTTTTTAAACCACTGGCAAGACAAGCCAGTTTCAGGAAATCTGTGAGATAACGATTTGAAGTTGTTTCCATGTATTTCCATGAGAGAAAAGGGCAGTTTAAACAAATAAAGGGTCAAAACCCTTTAGCTGCGCTCATAAGCCGCGGGCTTGCTGTGTCTGACAGAGCTCTGCCCGCTCAAATCCCTTTGAATCCCTGCTCCATGGCTGCAGAATGCGTAGTACCACCTGGAGAAACCCTCCCTGGGGGGGACTGATTACTGAACATCCTGTCTGCGCAGAGCCAAAGTGACTGGTGAGGTCTCTGCGGCACAATGGCTGCGTTGTTTGACCCGGGGTCCCGGTTTTGTCAATGTCAGTGTGACGCTATGTGCGCAAGCCAGGAACACCTAGCGCCTGCAGGCCACAGCTGTTAGTCTCATTTTCAGCTCCATGTCAGGCCTCCTTGTTTTGTCATCATCTCACTGGGATCTTTGGGAATCACCACAAAAGTGGGAATGCATTTATAGTGACTGTGACATCAAATTTATGTAATAAGTACGAATGCGTTTTTTCAAAGGGAACGTTGCACGGCAAAAAATCCACACCACTTAGGTGAACAGTTGTTGAGATATTTCCACGTTAAGTAACAGGAAGTGATGACAAAAGGGATTGTCTGCATATGAGTGTTGCTAAAATGGCTAAAAACACAGACTGTAGAGAAGAATCTGATGCTTCTTTCAATTATTTTGAGCTACTTTCAGAGAAATGAAGAAGAGTCAGAGTTCAAATAATATTGTTTCAATGAACAATGATTTCTGAAAGAGTTCCCCTTTGATGTCACTTCCTGTTTCAATTTGGCTGAGCCAAATTCAAAAGAAAAAATACCAGTTATGTAACAAAATGTGTAAAGTTGTGTATTATGCCAAGTTTCTTAAATATACATGTTTTTATTTCTTTCTTTAATTTTTTGTTTTGTTTTTGAAGGATATGCATGTTACAGAAACTTTAAGAAAGTGTTACACCAAAATATTTGCTAATTTTCAATGACGTCCTCTTGTTTTTCCTCTAACCTTCTACTTTATGGTCCAGTTCAAACACGTGTATGTGGGTCAGTCTTGGCCCAGAAAGATATTTGAGTTAGAAATCTGGGTAAATGTGGGGTCACCCACAAGTTCTTTACAGCATTTATTGACCTGAGTGGGCCTCTGTAGGTGGAATATTTGCTCAAATGTCTTGGGTGTAACCTGCTTCCCAGAGTAAATTTGGCCAAGATTGCTTTTCTTTGGGGACAGAGCTTTTGTTGTGTGCAGTTAATTTTTTTAAACCTAAAAAAGCTAAATTTGCTGGTGTTTTAGTGGAGACTATATCCTTTACAAGCCCTTGCACACACGCGCACACACACATCATTTTCATGAATCTTTTTAAAAGAAATCCTGCATGATTTCTCATATGAGATACTGTTGGGTTTTCAGTGCCATCTAAGTTCACGTGGTTTTTGTGGCGTCAAAAACAGATGCTGGTTTTTTTTTTTTTTTTTACGTAAGCAGGTTGTTATTCTAACAGCTGATCTGCTGCAGCAGTCATGAAATCAATGGATTTCACTTGCAGGCACAGTGACCCTAATTAACCAGACAACCTTTATCAGACAAGTGCTGGAGGTTAATAAGAGGCAGGACCTGGCTGTGAGGCAATCAGCCAAGTAGTCAAACATGCATTTATCAAAATGAAAAAAAAAAAAAGAAAGACTAAAAAGCGGAAAAATAAGTCTGTTTTGCAATGCTTGTAAACCATTTTTAACTTTCAAAGAAAATTAAGATTATTTATTAATCTACTCAAATGCTTTCTAGCCGTGAGCAAAGTGCATGTTTGAATATTCAACATACAATATTTAAAAAGTACACATGAGGGTGAAATCATTTATACGGAATCGAATTGAAAGCTTGATGTTTTTTATTTTTATTTTGTTTTAGCTTCAATGGAGAACTCAAAGCGTTTGTTTTAACTGTATTTGAACACAGTCAAGTTTAATGACAGAACAGGGTGTGTAGAAAGATTGTTTGTCCATTGGTTTAACCAAGAGGTTTAAAAAATTCAAATCACAAACTTCTTCAGGCAGCTGCCGAGTGCCAACGATTTAACAGTTTATATATAACTTTTTATTTTAGCTGCAATTTTCATTATTAACAGTCCCAAAATAAAGTTGCCTCTTAAATCAAACCTCCTCAACGTSTGAGCTTAGTGGGTAATAAAATACACTTTGAAGAGGATGCAACTGAAGTAACAAGCTGACATAAAAGGACCTGAGGAAAGTTCCCGCTGGGATAAACTCTTATTATGAACTTCTTCTAAATAGAAAAGTTAGGAAGTATTTATGATTTTGGTGGCCTGCTAGGAGCTGCAGGGGCAGCTTGTCTGACATTTGTTCCTAATAAAAACATTAMTGGACAAATTACGAGGAGGAGGAGGATGTATTTGTTCATGCGTTGCTGTAAGTTGTTATGGAATCTTGTAAATCTGTATGTTTATCACATGCAGCCCTACATGCCTTAATATGAGAAAAACATGAGGGTGCTTAGTGGCGCTAAAGTTACTCATATTTATTGCAAACCAATGTAGTAAATAAAAAAGTATATTAAATCTCATTATGTTTAGCTTGTATTCCCTTATGAAGTCCATACATCAGCTGAAAAGAGTARCAGTAGATGAGCTTTAAGGGGCTCAGAATGAGTGCAAACATGCAGCAACCAGCTCATTAAAAGGCATCACATTCAAATAGAAACTGGACTCGGGGTTTGAATGAAAGCCTAGCTCAGCTCGTGGGTATTTTATCTGTTTTTCACAACATATTTCATCTACTTTCAAAGTTTTATTTTAATTTTTTTTTCTTGGAAGTAGATAAAATTTTCTGCTAGGCACAGCAGATCAGAAATAAACAGCAGGATCAAACCGGCACTGAAAAAATGTCAAGCCAAAAAATAATTTTTTGATCTTGTTTTGAGACTGATTTACTAAACAAAAACTGAATGTGTAAGATATCTTGTTAGCCTGAAAATTTAAGTCGAATTAAGTGAAAAAAAATCTACCAGTGGAGTAAGAAAATTTCACTTGGTAAGATTCTTGAAATACCTGATTTGCCTCAATTTTTTTCTTATTTCAAGAGTCTTACCAAGTAAAATTTTCTTACTCTATTGGCAGAATTTGTCACTTAATTTGAGTCAAATTTGATAACAAGATTACATATTCAGTTCTTGTTTCGTAAATCAGTCTCAAAACATGATCAGAAAGACTTTTTGGATATAAGATTTGAAAACTTGGTTAGATGGACAGTTTTTGCATTGTGACAGCAAAATTTGACATGAACCTTATTAGATTTTAAGCAGTGATTAAACCACAGCGGACATGCAGTGAATATGTTTAATCTAGTGACATCTAGTGGCTGAAATAGCTAATTGCAACCAAATGAATAGCCCAAACATCTAATGGTTGCTGTGAGAATGACTATATATAAAACTTTAAACTAAGATTATATTAGCTCATGTTAAAAATGAAAAAGCCGTAGCTGTTTTGTTCAAGTCTCGAAAAAACAACAACATTGTGAGCCCACAGAAAATGTGCAATTTTAGCTCTGTTATACTGTCTGAAATGTAGTCATTTTGGTGTTTTCTAAAATCAGCTGGACGTGGCAGCTAGATTTAATTAGTTTGGCTTCAGACGTTAACCAGTTCTAGATGCACATTTGAGGATTGTTTTCATTCATTTCAGTTTAATTGAAATCGGTCCAGTGATGACAAACAGTAATGTGGTAACAGACAGCRAGAGAAACACACAGACGGGAAAACATTAGTGTTCATCTTTTGGCAGCAACTTTACCCAAAATATATTAAATGCTGTTATTGGACACTTTTGGTACATGTTCAAAAACTTAATCTTTATTTTAAAGACATAAAAACAGACATATAAAAGATTTATCAAATAAAACAGTAGTCAGTWGGAAGCTTGGTGAACATAAGCCAGAGGCCTCAGATTTACATATTTTAAGCCACAATTACAGTCTTGTATTGTTAGYACACACTTGGTAGTAAATTGGCTTTAATTAGTTAAACTATGGCTCTTTAAATTTTCAGAAGAACATAATTACTCTTGCTTTTAGTTTCTTAAAGCCTGTTTAAAACTCTGCCCACACAAATTTTAGGTTTTCAAGTTAACAACTATTTACTTTTCCTCCCACAGACAGTGTGTTTGTAGTAACAATCTGCCTTGAGGACAGCCATGTGCTCTGCTCGGTGTCTAACAACTTTCCATATGATGAACAGAATCACCACATTGCTTTCGTTTTTGTAACAGTTTTTATTGACTTTTAAGGTTGATGAAATCTACCACGATGAATCTTTGGGAACCAACATCAACATCGTCCTTGTCCGGATGATAATGGTCGGGTATCGACAGGTGAGCTGCGTGTATTTTTCATCCCTTTATATTCATGTTTGAGTCAGAGCCTTGAGATAGACAGGACTGCTTTGAAACTCATAAACACTGCTGCCGCTGCCCAGAAATGATTTTTTTATGTTCCCTTCAGTTTTGATTGGACTCAAAACAAGACAGACCGACTGAGCTCACCGACATGAACTATGAAAAAGAAAGTGATGCAATGGAAACTCCAGACAGTTCGTCATCTTCTTCCAAAACTCCTGTCGAGCCTTGTAAAAGGTCATCAGACTTGTGGCTTTTTGTAACAAGGTTACGCACGAGTCCGTTTAAACAAGTCTAATAAGGGTTGTGTCTGGACAGAATGAAAACGGAAAACAAAAAAATATTTAGAACTGATCATACAAGGTGCAAGTGGAGTCAAGCTTTTGCAATGCTTTATTAYTGCACTGCAGTTTTGAACCGTAATCTTTAGTTGTGCTGTGATTCACACTGTAGTTGTTGAGTGTTGCTAACATGAGAGAGACCTTTAGCTTCAATGTGGTAGTTACAAGAGCTGAGATGGTGAAAGGCAGGTGATTATGTAATGGGGATCTCCTCTCGTGACGTCACTCATATCTTTCATTATTTGCCGCTCTCTCCGATGATCAGACAGTCGGACGTGGATTTTACTGAAAGTCGGTGTTAGTACCATAACAGAAAAAAAAATACGTTCCTAGAGCAAATTTGACACATCCGACTTCAGGAATCACAGGAAAGTTCAGATGAAAGCTTGGCTAGAGGGTCGAAGTCTTCGACAGGCTTGAAAAACAAGAGGAATCGTTAAAAAGTTTGGTGTTTAAAGAAACTTTAAGGATGATGTTTAATATTTGTGTAAGTAGTGCAGACCTGTCTCCCGTTGAAAATATGTGACGCATTATGAAGCGCAAACKGAGACCCCGAACTGCTGAGCAACTGAAGTTTTACTTTAAGCAAGAATGGGAAAGAATTCTACCTTCAAAGCTTCAACAATTAGTGTCCCCAGTTTACAAGCTCTTAAATGTTAAAAACATGTCCCTGTTTGAGCTTTTTTTTAAACATTGCAGGCATCAAATTAGAAATGTGTGAATATTTGCAAAAACACAATAAAGTTCTGTTTGAACATTAAAYATCTTATYTTTGTGGYGTATTCAATTGAATATAGATTGAAAAGGATTGTGTTCTGTTTTTATTTGTTTGACACATTTCAACTTCATTGGAATTGGGTTATATGAATGGCAGCAGAGGCAAAAAACATCTCAAAAGCTTTGAGTTACTTATGGATTCTGTTTGTCAGAAATTTGTGTGAATGTCTATTCTGAGATGTGCAGTTTATTTGCAACCTGCCCCAAGAGTTAAATCCACAGCTTATCTCCTTTCATATATTTCAAAGTGAAAGGATGTGCACATCACATAAAGGTGAAATGTCACTGAGTCCTTTTTCCACCTAAAGAAGATTGGAGCCAAGCGGAGGAGGTTGACAAGGAAAAGTATAAGATTTCTGTTCACACTTTGCTGTTTTTCGTCTTCTTCCCTTTGTCATTGTGCAGTCTATAAGCCTGATTGAGCGTGGCAACCCATCTCGCAGCCTGGAGCAGGTGTGCCGATGGGCCAACACGCAGCAGCGCCACGACCCGGACCACGCCGAGTACCACGACCACGCCATCTTCCTCACAAGGCAAGATTTTGGTCCCGCAGGTATGCAAGGTACTGTATTTTTCTCGATCGAGGCCTGTGCAGACTGAGTGCTGATTTCTGCTTAAGTTCATAAAGGGGTCGGCTTCAAGTCTTGACCAGGTAAGGTCGATGAAAACCGAGGCCACGGACTGAACTTCTGCCCTCGCGGGAAAACTTTTAGAGCTTTCCAAAACCTTGCGGACTTGACGTTGATGCCACCCTGAAACGAAGATAAAACAATTAACGATTGATATAATGATGAAGAATGTTTTTGGCATGTAGTCAAAAAACAGAGATGTTAGTTTATGTTTTAAAATAATCCTTCAAGTTTCCAAACTTCAGTATGAGCTTTTTTTTCTAATTTCTAGCTCATTAAGAATATTACAGCTCTGTAGAAAAGCATTCCCCACTCACAGATTTCTTCAGTTTTTGCTTTTTTCTCACACTGAAATGTTTAATATCAGTCAAAAATAACCAGAGTAAATAGAAAATGCACTAGTCTACAGGATTCAAATGCTTATAGCATATCTCTGCCATAGTCATGTTCAATCCTCTCAACAGACGACTGCTCTGTTCTRCTGTAGTGATTTGTCTCATACAGGTATGATGGATTGTACAAACCAATAGGGTRTCAGAATGGTRTATATTTAYATTTCTCATCCAACCAAAATCAAATTAACRCCATCAGGGAGATGCCATACTGTATATCTGGATATTTACATATGTATATGTATTTTTAAAGGGCCAATATTATGTGTTTATATTTAAATACTATACCATAGTAAAGTATCTAT